TCTCTGCCTCCTTGCCGCTTTGTGCTCACTTCTGTGCTGCCTGCCTATATATACATGGGTTCTATCCGGCTAGTAGAGGGGTGAAGGAGGCATCGCGTGCATCCTTAAATGACATCTTCATACAGGTACTATAGACAACTCCGTAACGAGCTCACTTATACGGTTCACGGTTAGTGTAACTTCGATTAGTAATATCATTCCTCCACCACACGAAACTGACGTAGTTGTTGAAGATAGACGGTATAATCGGACCTGCAAGGGGTCGACGCAGATTCTCTCACTTACGATATATAACCTTCTTCCATCAAGTTAAGGTTTAGTATTTGGCAATCAAAATATGAGGCCAATTTTCCGCTGTGACAGGATTCGCTTTCCGCAGCCATCAATGTGTCGCCTTGAGGCTATCTTGAAGACGAATGAAGACACAACACCAGCACAGAAAATGTATTGCTAAAGCACAAAAAGGCTAAGGGACTTCTGGTGTAGTCCAAGGGCCGTATCCTTCACTGTCCGCTCAACCCAAAGAGAAGAGTTAAGCAAAAAAGATGTTTATTACATTAATTGTTTGTTTAAATCTCGGTTTTGGTAACCGACCACGTTGCTGTTCCACCGTTGCACGCCTGCCAGTAACCCTAACCCCTTCTCCACGTTGACTACACATATTCCGTTAGAGAATTCGCATTCTGCCGGCTTCGGACAAGTCTAGAGGCGCTACACACGTGCCACATCCAATTCTCCCTGTAGGATATCATATTCACTTCTCAGTACTTGCTTACTTAGATTTGATTTTGCTATTGCCATTTAATGAAAGAAAAATTGTCCATCGAGAGGTTAATTCAAAAGCCCATCTTTGTTGAATGTGTGGCAACCTCTGCTTCTCTACTACCAGGGGGCGAAAGTTGGAGACGCCCTTTCTCGTAGTCTGATGGCCGCAATTTCTATCAGACTGTAGGCATTTAATTGTTGGCTTCCAATGGAAACTGGCTATAGTTTCGACCCTTTAAAATATTAGTTTTTTTCCGAAGTTTCTTCCATTCTGCTTCAGCAGCATTCTTTAAAGTGAAAGACAAGCCTTCCGTTGCCTGCTTATATCTAGTCCCATCTGTGTAAATTCGCAGTTGCTCCTGAGCCAGCAGTCCTAAGCATGTGGTTTCGCCTGAGCCTCCCCCTCTTTCTGTCCTCAGTGTTGGTCAAAACTCTTGCATTCAACGCGCCTACTTCAAGGACAGATGGATGTGGTCTACATTTTCAACGGATGTAGTACCTTAAAACTGAATTTAGTCACGTTATTTCACTCGTTAATCAAAGAACAAAGTCATCAACAGGCCCCTCCCATCGTGCGTCTACAATGACACCCTGATTGGTTTGAAGCCCTTCACGGCTTGACAAAAAGAAGTTAATTGACTATTCAAAAATTAAGACCTTTCCAGAGGTACTGGTGAGCATTAAACCTCGCCAACAGGTAAGTTGCTTCATTGAAGATCTTTTCCTATTTTGTCCTTTCTGAGACGGGATTAAAAATTCCTCTCTTTCAGTGTACCTCCCTCCAAGCTAAGATGGCGCGGTCTCTTTCATCACCTTGATGATCATAAGTTATACCACGCTCACAGAGCGTACTCCGTCAGCGAACACTGACTTGCATCTTGCCAAACAAAGCTTTGCATGTCATCGTTTATGTGACTATCTTGCAGACTAGCTTTTGATGCGGTGATGTTTGGGGTCCTCGCACTCTTCTGAAGTAGAATAACGCCAAAGTCGAGCAGTCTATTTGTTGCTATTGCAAATATCGTATCCTCACAGAAGTTGTTTATGGCAGGTAGTCTGGATAGCTGAACGATAAAGACAACTTTAAAAATGTTTGTCTGTTGACCTCGATCCTACCGTCTGCGTTAGGCAAGTCAAACGACTATTAACGATTGCGGCTGATGTTGGTAGGCAGTCCGAGGCAGTCATCCAAGATCTTCCTCCTCCTTCCTTCCTCCCAGTACATAATGAGGCATGCCAGTCTTGAAGAAGGTCCGAGTTTCCAATGTGGCGACCAAGCGGGAATACCAGAGGAAAGACAAGGTGTTAAATAATTTTCACGTACCTATAATATTGTAATACACTGGCTGCTTGTTTAACGCTCAGTTCTGGTAAAGAGCCACTTAACATCACCGCCATTGTACTTAAGCCGGGTAGGCTGGCCTCCTAGCCATAGCAGTGGTCCCAACCCCTTCTGCTTGTCGAACATATGCAATACTTGTACGTTCGCTTTGTAGTTCCCACGAACCTCAAAAATAGTTACAATCCTAAAATACTATTTTGAACAAAATTCAAGTGTTACTTTTTATAGATGCGGCTTTAGCAGAGGTGGAACTAACTGATCTCTTTGCTTTGGAGGGACCAGGTTAGTCACTACATGGGGTTTGAGGAAGGGGGAATGGAAGCGTTTACCAACAACAGATTCTGTTTCAAAATCTATGCAAATGATCGAATCTCGAGTACTTAACGCAGGAGGTAACTAGTTAACGTGTTATCTATTTGAACTTCCCATTGCATCGGAACTATAAAGGTAAACACTGTTATGAAGTTGTCAACATTGTGCAAGTTTTTTGATGATATGTTTGATCTCTTTTAAAAAACACATGACTTTCCCAATCATATTAAGTAAACTGAAGTGTTTTGGTTAATAAGTCCCTTGTTAACCAATATATCAATAAAAATTTCCTCACTTTCCGACTATTTGAAAAGGCCTTTCCTATGGCTAGTATTTTCCTTGCTAAAAACTTTACTAGTCTTTCGGCAAATAAAAGGGCCGAAGTTAGACGTGATAACCATTAATAACAAGTCTACTTATAGATTAATCAGTAGGCAGTTCTGACACAAATGTAAGACAATGGCAAATCGATTATTTTCAGGGAAATCATCATACTTTCCACAAGACTTTTTTCTCTTCCATCATTGCTATACTTCGTTGAAAATTTCACCTGCACTGTTGTGCTTCCATAAAGATCGTACCGAATTTATTACCAGACTTCTTGAAGGAATGAGGCGATTCCATCTAAAAGGTAAAAAATACAGATGATCTGAATGCATCACTCAATTTTTTTAACAAAACATAACCCTATTAATTACACAGAATACAGACTTGGGGAAAATACAAGAAAATACTAGGCTTCCGTAAAGACAATTATTATTTATTTTATGTAGACCATTGTGGTTTGGGCTAAAAAATTACTAAAACAGCAAAAAACAAAACGCAAAGCCGTATTAAAACACCACATTTTTCAAACGCGTGGAGTCTTTGATTTGGGCTTCGTGGTCATCATCTTGATGGTATAACGATAATGGACTTTCATCTATAATGAAATGGCCTATCACCTCCTTATTGATAGTTTCGGGTGACCTAAAGATAAGGATATTACCTGTACCCAACCTCATTGAACACCAAGCCTGATTTTATGAAGTTTAAACTAACCCTCAGTACTATAAAATACGAATTTTTTCCTGCTGATGTTGGCATCTGGGCGGAGTCATTGCAGAGAGTCCTCCAAAGCCTCACTTAACTTTAGCATACTTATTGGCACAAAGAAAGGTCAGAATAACCACTCGAAAGGGGGCGATGGTGAATACAGTGAGTTAGCTCATGGCCTAAAACTTATCAATCACCTTTTTCATTACGCTTTGAGCCAAATTTTCCTGCAAAGTCTGATCAACATAAGGCATGTATAGTCTTTAACCCCTTTTCCAGGATGAATCACATCTCGATGTAATTTGCTTTGGGAAAGACCCATTATTCAAAATTACATATTACACTGCTAATGCAACAGGCAGCATTCTTTATACGAGGCTGACTTTAAGGCACCATCTGTATTCCTGTTTCAAGAAGATTCATGAAGTCTGAGGCAGTGCAACGACAGAAAAGAATGCGGAATTTGGAGCTCAAAAGAAGTTAGCAACTCTGAGGATAGATATATCAGTAATTTTATCCTATTTTTGTGTCATTTGGCTCATTTATAGAAGTCAATTTTCAAAGAGTTTGCTCAAAATTTGTTACTGTGCTAGCAAAGGCCCCATTACGTTCGTTTTTGAGCTACTGGACCGCGTCTGCTTAGCTGACGACATTGCTTGTCTGTAAACATGGCTACGGATTTCGCTAATCACGCCAAATAGAAGAGACGTGGTTCTCCATCTGAAATTACTTGATACTGTCGTGCACCTAAGCTACGGGGATTAAGTTGCTGTCTTGAGTCAAATAACCTTACGGGTCACAGCACACACGGTCGTTTTGGCCCACCTCATTCGCCCCCCCCTTAATATCATGAGGTCCTTGTAATGTCAGTCGTGTTCCAGTCCTTCTTTTCACTAATACCAAGCATTCATCCATAGTATTGAAACTTCGAGATAACTTGACGCACCCCTAGGGTTTGACGTTTTCAACCAGTGGCTCCATTCTGATTAGTCCTTGCGTTCCTTCTGACCCCCCACCCGCGTGATTATAGAACGTAACCCATCGTTGTCCCCTCCAAACCCCCTGCAGACTTGAGAGAGTTCGCCAAACTACTATAGTTCGTTTTCATAATTTGCTTTACAAAGATGTGCAATCAGCAGCAGTTCCTGGTTATACAGTTCAATGCGTGCCATCAGAAACGAAGGGACCATTGAGACATAAACTACCTCAAAACTGATATTCCACCAATATTTTTCAGTTATATTTCAAGCATTCGCAGATTTCTTGTTAAGCAGACTTACTCAGTTTTGAACTAGGCTTGAATACGCTAGATCTAGTTGATTTTAAGCACAATTAGGAGCTACTGTTGCATATAAATAATAAGTAAAGTGAAGCCTACCTATAAAACATTCAAATTTACCGAAACAAGGGATTCAAATTCGTCATTATAAGTTGTGACAGTTTACAAAATTTACAGCATCTCTTACATCTGGGTTGTTTTTGGTGAGGGAAGCAACCCTGACTGAGACCATCGTTGATAAGTTTATGGCGGTAGGTGGTAGTTAACTATCTTCCTCTAGTCAACATCCAGTCACTAGGATCGACTGAAATCATCCGCCACTACCCCAAAAAGTGTATAATCACCTCCCATTGCAACCAAACTGAAGTTGAAAGTATGCGGCTCCTTCCAGATCGCCTCGCCCTGTTACCTCACCAATGGCGTAACAACCCGCGGTCACACTAGGACCTCGTGATTTTTATGTTTGGCTCTGTTTCGTCCTTAAAGCATTCTGCGTTTCTTATAAGGGCACGATATTAACCCTACACCTACCAACATTCGTGTTTCTCCCTGTAATGTTTAAAGAAAACAAACCTGCGGACCGTTTGGTAAAAGAGCCCTCACGTTCTTACTGACCCCCATTTCCTCCCAGAGATCATGGGGAGATGACTTAGCGCTGTACACCTCAAACCTCCTGCAGACTCAAGTGAGTTCATCAAACTACTAAACTAAACTAGAAGAAGTGTCTTCATTCAAACACCCATCCACTATAAATCGTATTTACTCATTGTACAACACAACGATGCGTCAGAAACGAAGGAGTCACTACGACACAAACTATCTCACAGCTATTACCTCGTAACTGCCTATAGTTTTAATAATATTCTTATACAAAATCATCTAGTGCTAAATCAAACTTAAACATCCTGGATCCACTTAGCCGTAGGCACAATGAATAGCATCAGCTACTTATAAATAGTAAGTAACATAGCGGCACAATGCACCGAACCACTTCTAAATTTACCGAAGCAAGGGACTTGAGCTCATCATTATGAGGAGTAACAGTGCATTAAAAATTACCTCAAGGCCTCTTGCGGTTGAACTATCTTTAGTGAGAAAAAATAATCTTGATTGAAACCATCGTTGATAAGTTTATGGCAGTGGGCATTACCCAGGTGTCCCATCCCCCCCCTTCCCTAGCCCTCATTGGCCAACCAAATCCTGCCGCGTGGTTCGGCTGAATTCATCTGAAATTATGATAATCACCACTTGGTACACCTGAAATGCAGCTGTAGGTGTGAAGCTTCTTCCAGATTATCTTGAGGCGTTACCTTCACGATTGGCTCAACAACCCACAGCCAAGGGTCACAGCACTGTGTAACCTTGACATCCACCCTCAAATAGAACGTATATTCAGGGGCTGGAAACACGTTGCTCTATTCTGATAGTAGAAGGAAAATTGTCGATTTGCCTTCCACTCCCGAAAAATATGTTTTCAGAGGTGCTTCAAGACTTACACAGAACTGGTGTTGAGATGCGATGCTCAAACCCACCTGGGAAGGCATGACCTTCCTCAAGGTAAGTAACTCGAGGAAAAAGTATTGTCCAATTAATCCCACCCTACCTCCCTTTTACGGTTAAATCTAAGTCACGAAGGTTGTATCGAGAGGGGTCTCAGTTTATCCCCACGCTCCCAAAAAGAACCCTTGAGAGAACAAATGTCTCGACTTCCGCGTCTCGCAGCATAGACAAAGAGAGCAAAGTAGAAATGAAAATTAAAATCAATTATATACCTGCCTAAGTTGGCGAGAGGACCGTCAAAAGACAATTTGTGAGGATTACACGGCAGCCTCCCTTTCAGTAGTCTATAGACAATACTATGTACACTATAATACAAGCAAATACCAAAGTCAACTTCACTTCGTCATAATTCAAAGGATTCACCCAAGACAGCTGCCTCTAAGACATTGCGCAGAAGCTCATCTGCGCCGTCTTCAAGGGACTCTGTGGTCTCCAAAGTGAGGAGGAGTGGTGAGTCTGGAACGAGAATCTGGCTACCTCTTCCTCCGCCACAGCCGTCATCAGCGCAGGAGGGTGGCGATGAAACAGGCGGAAGGAGGGAGGAAATCCGAGGTTTCTTTTGAGCACTCGATAATTCATTTTCACTAGCCTTTTCATCCTTCTGAAACGAAATCACTGGAGATTGTAAGGCGTATCATCACCTCACAACTAATAGCGGCCAAAGGCCTACCTGGGGTGTAGCATCTGACGACTTAATTTCCTCTTCTGGCTGCAAATTCTCCTTTATCGACTATAATAAAAAGGAGTCAAAATTAAACAAATCCGACCAAAACAAACCGTGACTAAAGTACGCACAAGAAGCATACCTGCGAAGCAGTTGTGGAGTCGTTCATGGAGGTGAAAAATTGGTCGATTTTTGAGGCCAGACTAGACGCTAGGGGCTATTTCAGTAAAATTTGCGAATTAAGCGATGCGTTGGCATTTCAATTCTACCAGATCTTAGTTTTATCCCTTATATCCATACAAAACAATGTCATAGCGGTAGCTGCATCTTTTAGAACCGCTTCGATACGATACCAACCCTAGTAAGAATGATCTCCCCTTTCCCATACAACATCTCCTGACTTCCAATGCATGTACTTTCAATGTCGACGAAGCGGTGGAAAAGGGAAGTGTGAAGCAGCTCACCTTAGCCCGACTGAGATCGACATCGTCAAACGACTCCTGATTTAAGCCCACTTGACTCAAGACTTCCAACTTGTTCTTCACAAGAGCCCTAAAACAGGGGTAACCTCTTATGCAAGACCCTACCAAAGCTGGTCATCAACTGTGCCGCTAGCCAAGAGGTAGTGGATGTTCACAGGATCCTGCTGTCCAATACGATGTGCTCGATCCTCGGCTTGAACCAGCACTCCGGGGTTCCAGAAGAGCTCCGCAAACACCACCAGATTTGCCGCGGTCAAATTTAAACCTGTGCTCGCTGTTGTGATTGAGAGGAGGGCCACTCTACAGGCAGACTGGTTCTGAAAGCGCTCGCAGGAGGCACGACGCTGTTCAGATGGTGTCTTGCCATCGATGCGTATATACTCGATGTGCTGTGAAGAGAGATGTGTGGTGAGGCCGTATGCAATAGTGAACAATACCGAGGGAATCGAAAATACGAAACACACCTTTGACTCCATCACACGAGTTATGGCGTCAAGCATCTCCTGATGGTGAGCGTAGAGAATAAATTTCCTATCTTCCTCAAGCAAGTCCGTAATGTACTGACTGAGAGAAAAGAAGAAGATTAAACTTCCAGACAAGTAGAGGACTCACCTCACAGCCGGAATCTTGGCTTGACAGGTTTGCATGAAAAAGCGCAACATTTCTCCGTGCTTCTCCACTCCCTGAAGTGCAACAAATCGGGATCACACGCGGGCTCACCACGTAATACCACAATAAACCAACTTCACTCACATTCAAATCTAGCGAGGCTAAATTCTCCAGGCGCTGGTTCTTCCCATTAGGAGTCTTCTTCACCAGGTCTGGGTCAAGGATCACAACCTGGCGGAATTTGGGAGGCAACTGCCCCAAAACCTCGCTCTTCACACGACTATAAAAAAGGATGCTGGTGGAAGAGAAGTGACTGCATGACATTTGCTTTAGTTGTATGAATTCAACCAAACGCAAAGGCAAAACCAAACCTTCTGTGCGTACGAAATGGTTTTACCCAGAACTACACATTTTATAACGTCCTAAGGAAAGACTTGTGCGATAAAGGGCAGTATAACTACTAAATAAGTGAAGAAATATAGTGTACCGTATCATAATAGTCTCCTGAAGAAGGATGTGAAGTTCTTGCAGGTTGGAACAACCCGAGTAGTCCCAACCCCACGTCCTTTCCTTCGCAGCACAGTAGCGCAGACCGAATTCGTGAAATCCACCACGAAAGAGGTTAGGTCGAATGCCAATAATCTGCGGGTAGAGCTCCAAGGGGCGGGACAGGGCGGGTGTGCCCGTCAGCAGGATAACCCGCTTTGCGGCCTGTAGGTAGGGTGGTGGTTAAAGTCAAATACCACAGAGCTACCAGTGCCCCAAAGAGGGTGAAAAGTAAGCAAACCCACCTGCAAAATGGGGAGCGCCGATTTGGTGCGAGATGTTCTGAGGTTCTTCAGATGGTGTGATTCATCCTAGTAGGAAGGAATAATAACAGTAATTATAACATGGTGATAATTAGGACATGCAACAAGAAACACCTCTATGCAAAGTGATGTACTCAAGCGCCTACACTATCTGTCAAGTGAAGAGGTACAGAGACAAACCTTAAGTTTCTTTCAGTCCCCCATGATTCGGTTTATATGGTATTATTATTACATTACGTGGAAGATGGCCTACTTGGACGCTACGCTGGTGAAAGTATTGACAAATTCGCCATAAACAAACAAAAAAACTGATTTTGCTGAATAGATACCATACTAGAACATTTAAGAGATAGAGTATATGCTAGAAGATTGAATCTGCGAAAAATCGTAACGAAAACGTGCCAACGTTTCGCAAGTATCTCAAGAGGAATCTCCACCTACCTATGTTGCACGAAGCTGCGTAGGTGCAGCAGGGCAGTAATGAAATGGTGAGATTACATGACACGAATTCGTGTATTCCATTAAAAAGGCTTGATATTGGGCGAACATTACTGGAGAAAGAGAATTGCAGGCAAAATGAGCTCACTATAGAACACCATCCAGTCGCAAAGAGCCCGTGACAAGAGTATCCGCATTACGATTCAAAACTATTGTGCAGCATGCAAGGACATCAAAATACGCAAGATCCACAGCAGCCCCTCGACTGGGTCGCTATATCGCCGTGATGGAAGGTTTATCGTACCACAATGGTTACTGTCCAGCAAATAACTATAACACGCTTGCCTACACTGTGATGGCTGCGGTAAGCGACTGGGAAAAGCGAACATGAAGGAAAGGGGCTCTGCACAAACCATCTGAGCTACTAATCTTTTGGCTCTTCTGTGAGCTGGTGGGTAAATTAACCCCCAACGCCATTCCGAATACCTGGGGCACTGCAAAGCCTACCATAATGACAACCTCGAACGATGAAACCGTTCGACCCAAACTCTCGGCATAGCGAGAGAGTAGATCGTAGGTGAAAATGGTGACAAGTTTGCGGTGTTGTTGATGCTGGATGGAGTCGAGGGCATCGGTAAGTGAGGCGACGACGTGAATATCGGCGCGGGAGAGACTGAGTGGAGGGGGGCCGAGCCAGCGCAAAGCGGCCTCGCGCCAAGCCCAACGCAATGACAAGGGCGCCACGACAAGAAGAGGCCATTCGGATCGATAGGCTGCGGCTACAGCGAGTGCCTGCACTGTTTTGCCCAGTCCCATGTCGTCGGCGAGGAGGACGCGGCCCTCGTGCTTCAAAGCGAATCTGCCAGCAATAAATAGGACTACTGACATCAAATGCTCCAATCAGTTGGACTTTAGTGAGTGAACTTCAAGCAATGAAGCTGTCCTAGTAACTTGGACGGAGGAGAGGGGCGAGTCATTCGGAAGTTAGCACGCTATTGGCTCTCCAAGTTTACTCACCTTACACCCTCTCTTTGAAAGTCCATCAGAGAATCAATAAGATGTCGAGGTATCCAGTCTTCCAGACGTATTTCATTTTGCCCTGAGGTTGATTTCACTGAATCTATCTTTTCCTTAAATACCTAAATAGTGTGTTGTGACGACTCGCAAAACCACCTCAAGTCTTACCGTCACGACTGCACTGGAGAGACCAACCAGTTGAATATCGTCAATAGCGAAGGCCTTGCGTACTAGATAATGCAAGCTTAAACTAATAAAACAGACTTACAGAATCCCCTGTAGTCTGAGAGGTGAAACCGCCATATTTTGGTTTTTTCATCTCAAGAAGGAAATATGTTTAAATAAGATGGGTGCCTTCAAGGTGTATTCTAAACAAATTAGTTAAATATATTCACCAGTTCCTTTTTGCAAAGAAATGCAACGATACGAGTAGATAGATTACTTGGATTGCTGCAAATTATTGCTGGCCATCAAATCTGGGTATCGTCAAAGAGCTACTTCCAAACTACTAACATCAAAGATAACCTCAGTTAAAAAATCTACCGACACCAACCAAATTTTTTGTACCAAGCCCAAATTAAGCTTAATTCCTTCGGAACTATGCAAGAAAAAACTGAATTTCAAAGCGATAAATCCACCTCAAGATTCATTGAAAGTAAAGCGTGTAGGAGTTTCTTGCTACTTTGGCAAATAGGACAGCAGTGAGATTTGAACGTTCAACTTACAAAGGAGTCGGTGCATTCAAAAGAGTTAAAACGAAAACCAGCGTCCAAATAACGGGACTTAAGATATTACGGACAACAAGCTATACTGACAGATGGGCAGAACAAAGCAGGACTGTTGATAGGAAAAAGTGTTAGAAAAACCACAAGTTGCGTCATCACAACATCTACCTACCATAGATGCGAGTTGGCATGCTTTTGAAGACTAACACAAGACCCTCATGGTACCTAGCCCGCACCTCAAACTCCTCTCTGCTGACGAGAACGCAAACAGCACGCAGTTTGGACTTTCTTCCAAACGAAGGCATCCTCGCTGGTCGCACAACATTCTGCGCAGTCGTCGAAGGTGCCGTCAGCATGGGTGTAGATCGTTTTTGTGCTACAGGGTTAGTGTTCACGTTGGTACTTTTGGATGCACTACCTCGCAGAATTTGGGACAAAAGGCCTGAAGAAGCTGATGTAGTCCTAAATATGCGTTAAAAAGCAGTCTTCAAGGTGAGGAAGCTTGATTACTGTAGAATTGCGAAAAGAGTACCCCCTGGACGAACATCAAGGGTAAATGTGCACAAAGTGCACATAAAGGCTATGTCGACGAGGTCATCCCAATCTGTATGGGGGACATTGCAACTACTCAACAGCGTCTTCTTACTTTTAACAAGATAAGTTGAGACAGCAAAGAAGGTTCGAAAACTATCGCTCCTGACGATTCTTCATGTCGAGTATCTTAAACGAATTAGTACGTATAGGAGGAAAGCCGATATGCGTTTTAAAAATCCCGGTCACATGGCACAAAAGGTACTTTACACCCCGTTTGACATTCAAAACCGAAACAATGATCTTAACGAGCGTCATGAAATATCTTAAATGACTACAAGCCCAAAGCACCCATGTACTCAACTGACAAAAGCGTGAAAAGGCACGAAACGCTAAAGCATATGGTGAAATACCTTGGCAGATTCCTTTGACATCGATTGCCAAAGGCCGTATTTGTCTGTTGGGGCAAACTTTGACTATTCCCCGCAACACCAGTTGAAAGCTGTCCACGATCAAGAGGTTCTTGCCTATTCCTTTCCATACGCTCACGATTTGCCCCTGCCAATTCTCTCCTCTGACCTTGATCCACAACAGCGTTGCTCGTTTGCGAACGCATACTTCCGTTGTTTTTTTCAGACTCCATAGCGCGTCGACGACGCATGAGAGCTTCCCGCCTATTTTTCTCAATCCGCTCACGCTCTGCTTCTGTTAGTTGTCTTTTCATACTTATGTCTACAAAAAAGGGTTGTATGATTCCCCAAAACTATAGAATACGTCTCAAGAAAAAAAGGATGACAAGAAGCAGTGGTTTATTAGATTAATTGTACACAAGAGAATGAAGCATCGCTCCCAATCCTTGGGTGATGTTATTGGCAACAAGTTCGTCCACGTCTTCTTCAAGATGTCGCTTAGGATCCTATGGGCCGCATAAATGGAAGCAAAAACAAACAATACCATTTTCCCAACATTTTTAATGGCCAACTGTTCTGGAGTCATCTTTTCCTCATCCTCCAGAGATTTGTTGTAGGTTTTGACAAGATCAAGTACTTGAAGAAGGGTCTTGTGGTTAGCATTGCAATGAACTGAGTAGTCCTCTAGAGTTAGCCCTTCTTGCCATGTACGCTTGTCCAGATTCATTAACATCTATGGAAAGTCAGTATAAAAATTAAAGACACCTACTGTTTGTTCCCTTTTATTTTTCCGGTAGTTAATCGGGAGGGAGTAATAATGACGATTGAGACCGTGGATGAGAGCCTGGATCGATGGTTTGTTGAGATGGCCAAGATTTGAAGTCGTTTGCCTAGGTTCTTGGTTGGCAATAACCATATTCGGATTGATTAATCGGAAAGCATCGATGACAACCTAAAGGCTATTGGCAACAGATAGTGTCTTACTTTTCCTTTAACACTTTGAATTGGATCTACAACCACAGCGACAGCGCGATCAGAGAGAGCTTCAAAACTCTGTTGTGTGTTCATATCGACCCCAGAAAGCCAACAACCAAAACCAGGATGAGAATGATACCACCCAACCACCATTTCTGGTCTACTTATGAATATTCACAAAGTGTATAACGTACCGCCCAGTCTGCTTGAGCATATCAATCATTTTTGCCTGAAAAACAGGATCAACAGCCTCAACACTAACGCCAGTACCAGACTGTGGCATTGCGAACACGTCCACAACAGTTACTGTGTAGTCGTCAACGAATTCTCCAAGCATCAAACCCATTACTTCCATCGGGACGCCAGCCCGACCGTGCTTAAGCATCTTTAATAAAGCGAGAGAGCTGATGTACACCTGCTCAGCAGTATCAGGAACGGGTCCATCAGTGGGCTGGGAACTAGGTTGGCCAAAGGAAAGTCCATCTGCACCAAATCTCAATAGGCGCTCCATCAGAGGCGATACGAAACAAAACTTATTAAGTATCGGACTTGAAAATTTGGCATGCTTATCCTGCAAACTTGATTGATTGAAACAATATCAAAATAAAAGTAGGGGCTCAAAATGGTAGGCGTAAGAGCATAGTGACCTTAACTGCTCTATATGATAAAGATTATTTATAAAAGTATGCAAGGGGTAACTCAATGACTACCCGACATTTTCTCAGTGTATAACGCATTGACAGCTGTAAAAACTACCCACTAATAGCTTATTACGCAAAGGCATTTTTTGTTATGAGCCAACAGTTAATTGGATAAATACAGGAAAAAGGTGAAAAAGGCGACGCATGCTTGCTGGAAGGAATTCCCTATTTTGCAACCGAGCAAAACACAGCAGCGTCGGAATCGGGCAGGCAATACCGTTCCCTAACACAAAAGCCAATTCCGATCTTTTATTAACCTTTAGGTTTTGCAAATCTTCTTACAGTTTGGTGCTTACTGTCTACTTTACGACCAGGTATAGTGGTTCCGATCACTCCTGCTTCATCCATTCTGCCGCCTCGCTAAATGATCATTTCAGTTAATCTGTCCCAACATTCATGAAGATCAGAATCTGCTGTAATACGATAGTAGTTTATCCCTCGGTACTGGTGAGGCGTTACTTTTGTACTTTGAATTAGTCCCCTTGTACCTCACTGGGTGGGCTGGCCTTTTGGGCCATGCCAATAGCCCAGACACCTTCTCTGCGCTGAATACATATTCTGCCCGAGTATTGTGTCTTCTTTCGTCCTCAGGGAGTCTCAAGACGCTACATCTACAGTTAGCTGATCTCTTAGATTGTAAAGTAGTGCACTCAGGTTGTATCATTTTTAGCGCAAGGTTCAATATCAGAGGTTAAGTCTAGAGCAAGCGGGTAATTTGTCAAGATATGTATCCTTTGTAAGGAAAGAAGTATCCTAAAGCGACCTCAACATTGCATTTTCAATTTTCTTCTGCTGCCAACTTTTTAATCTCAAGCTAAGGGAATTGGTCACAGGAAGATATCAGGCACTATAAAATAAAAAATTTTTAGGGATAGACAAAGTCACGCAAGTTTAAGTAGACTTTCGCAAAGAGGATCCATAAATCTGTACAACTTACACATCCAGCATGGCCCCTAGGCCACAAGACTATCTGCAATACGATAGTGGTTTATCCCTCGGTTCTGGTGAGGCGCCACTTTTGTACTTCGAATTAGCCCCCTTTTACCTCGCTGGGTGGGCTGGCCTTTTGGGCCATGCCAATAGCCCGGACACCTTCTCCGTGCTGAATATATATATTCTGCCCGAGTATTGTGTCTTCTTTCGTCTTAATGGAGTCTCGGGGCGCTACATTGGTGGCAGCGGAAAGCGAACCCGATCTTGAAAGGCATGTATCCTGATTTTCCACTTCTGCGTGATAAGCCTTGGTGGAGCGGAAGAAGTG